GGTTTTTTTAAAAAAATAAAAAAAAAAAAAAGAATAAAGATCAATCTGGGATAGTGTAGTTAGGTTAACAGGCGCCAACATAGCTTAACTTTCATTTTATATCCTACCTACATACCATCAGCTGTTTCTTAAACTGCAGCTCTACCTGGATCACAGTCTCAGAACAGAAATGACTGGCAGCACATCACCACAGTTTTGAATGTTTCTTTGTTTGTGGATGTGTGAGTGTTCTCACCTTTACTAGTCCCTTGTTTTCCATTCTTGAATTTCCAATAATTCTTTTAAATCCCATTGAGGGATTTACCACATTCATTTAAATGAGGATTACAGAAAAGCATATGAAAAGATGAAAATCTGATCACTATTGGAAGCCGAAGATTGAAAATATAGTATATAAGGGTCTATGTACACAAAGGCTGTTAGGATTAAGCCTTTCTTAGGGCAAGCGTCGTACTGAAGGATAGTGAATCATTTCCATCCCAAACCCAAGCACAAATCCAAAAATGAATGTGCACTCTGACAAGTGCCATTAGTAGAATGGTTTAATCTTTCACACTGCACTAATCTGTTTCATCAGAACTTTATCTCAATTTGTCTGTTACCATGCTGTCTGCATTTCAATGGCAAATCTTCAACAGCCTAACATACAACACAACGTAATAGTTTTCAAACATAACAGGCTGTTAAGTGAGTACAGATCTTCTTTGCAGAGGTGCTGGAATAATTTGTACACTGGGGGTGCTGAGAGCCATTGAACCAAACTGTAAAGCCTGTATATGAGGGAAACGACTTCAAGCCTGGGGGTGCGGGAGCATTCCCAGCACTCCTAGTTCCAGCACTTATGCTTCTTTGTATTTGTGAGAGAGACTAAACTTCTGTACATATCCTTATTACAACAACATTGTAAAACTTTGCCTATAAATTCCCTGCATCTAAATTTGATTTAGGGATACACTTTTATAATCTTTTCTCATTCCTGGTTATTTATCTCCCTTCTACAATATATTCTAGAAGTCCCCATTCTAAAAGGACTTAGAGGAGCCAAACTCCTTACATTATACGTGAAAGTGGAGGTCAAAGGGGACTGGTAAATAGCTTAGGAGCCAGAATATAGGGGACTTTATAAGGCAATCTTGATATGAGAGAGGACATACAGATCTCTCAAATGCACACTATGCCTGCCTTTTCTCCTTAATGTCCTGCTTTCCCACAAAGCTATTGGTTTAATAGAAGGACAGCTTATTTGAAAGCTGATATCCATAGGAGGGAAAGACAGAAGAATGATCTTCCTTGGAATATTTCCCACCAATCTGGAGTGATTGACAAAGCTTTTCAAACTAAAACTAAAAGCTAAAAAGCAACAGTACTTCTAAGGATTAATAAAGATGGCCAGACAGAGCAAGACTGGAATAAGTTCATCCAAACATCCAATAAAGTACCCAACTCTACTCTAGGAGGACTGATTTGAGGGCAGTAAAGAAAATCTATGGAGAAGAAATTGTATTAAAGGCAGGCCATTTGGCAACCTAGGAGGCATAGTCATATCTGTGTAGAAAGAGTAATGATGAACAACGCAATGATGGTGCACCGAATGTCAATGTACATAAAAACTCCAATGGTTAAGAAAATGAATACAAGCTCACCACTTCTTCATGCCTGCATTTTCTTACATTAATTCCATTAATCTGTTAAGGGGAAAGAAAGATAAGATTGACTCTGTATATCATAAATATAGATTATAGTTTAATTTTCTGGAAAGAAAATCTAAATAAACATTAACAGTTTTACATACCTGTAGAATTGCGTCTCCTATAAAGAGCAAACCTGAGAGTTCAGCTGTAAACAGAGAGCATATTTTGTGACTTAGATATTTTGCCCAATACAGCATATTGAATACACACACACACACACACACACACACACACACTACTTTATCTAATTTATCCAGTGTATATCGCCCAGTCTTGGGTCAGCTCTAG